AATAAATTCTGGAAAAAGGACCTAAGCTGGACCCATCATGGTTTGAGCACTTGTCAATACAGCCTACTAACCATCTGTATATTCTATCCGGGCATCTTCTTCTTTTAAAATTATTTTAAAATAAATAATAAATGATAGTAAAAAATAAATATATATATTTAAGCATTGTCTTTCTAGGCACTGTGTTAGGCACTTTAGAGAAAAGTTTAGGCAAAGGTTGCATGCATTAAAGGGTAGATGAGATGAGTATGAGCAATACATGAAATGCAGTAGATAACAGCAAAAATAATCCATTTCTAGGCACAGAGTGAAAGCAGATACCAGATACAGCTGTTAAGCTGTGCACCAGACATGGTGATCAACCAGGGTGGCTTAGAAGTCAGAAAGCTCTGGGAGCAGCTGACTCTGAAAAATAAAAATGACACAATATTTCAAGAGTTTAAAAGTGGCAAGTAGGGGTTTAGACAACTGCTGAAGACTTTAAGGTTGAATTAGTGATAAGAATGTGGAAGACCAAACACATAGAAAAATCAAGATAATTTATCAGTGCAGGAAAATGAGTTGTGCAAGCAAAGAATAGCTGTACTAGGAGTTAGCAGAATATAGCCCCAAATCCACCTGCTGTCTATTTTTATACAGCCTTCAAGCTAAGAATACTTTTAACATTTTTAGATGGTTGAAAAAAGGTCAAAGGAAGAATATTTTATAATACATTTAAAATACATAAACTTGGAGCACCTGTGTGGCTCAGTTGGTTAAGTGTCTAACTCCTGATTTCAGCCCAGGTCATGGTCTCTTAGTTTCATGGGTTTAAGCCCCAAGTCTGGCTCTGTGCTGATGGTGCAGAGACTGCTTGGGATTCTCTCTCTCTGCCCCTCCCCTACTCGTGTTCTCTGTCTCTCTAAATAGACATCTCTAATTAGCCCATCTCTAAATACCACTACATGAAATCAATAAACTTAAAAAAAAAAAAACCTGAGCTAAAATCAAAAGTCAGACACTTAACCAACTGAGCCACCCATACCCTGAGCATTTTTTTTTAAGGCTTATGGATTCATGCCTCATTGCAGGGATGGCAGAGTAGCACTTGCATCCCAGGAATCTGAAAGCTGACAATCTTATGACTGTTTCTCCATCTATGTTATACATTTAAACACATGTGAAGCATAGATTTAAGGTCATCCAAACCTGCCGTGATTGCCTCATTCCAAAGTGGCTGTATGGTCATTGTTTCTTTTACCCAACCATAAAATGACTTATAAGTGGTGATCATTTTAATAGTAACCTAAGATCAATCTTCCCACGTTTATTTTTTAATTTAGTATTTATTTATATTTTTATATATATTTATATTTATATATTTATATTTATAGTATTTATATATATTTTATAAAAGACATGTAACATAAAATTTACCAATTTAGTCATTTTTAAATGCACATTGTGTATATTTTAGCTGTGTGGTGGCATTAAGTGCATTCATGTTGTTATGCAACCATCACCACCATCCATCTCCAGAACATTTTCATCTTGCAAAACTGAAAATCTGTACCTATTAAACTTTAACTCCTCATTTCCCCCTCTTTCCAGTCCTTGGCAGCCACCATCCTACTTTCTGTGTCTGTGAATTTGGCTACTCTCAGTACCTTACGTAGATGGAATCATACAGTATGTGTTCTTTGTGACTGGCTTATTTTACTGGCATAATGTTCTCAAGGCTCATCCATGTTGTAGCATGTGTGAGAATTTCCTTAATCTGTGATTTCTTACTTTTGCAGGAGTTTCAGGTTCCTTATGCAGAGCCTTAACTACCTAGATAAAATTATCCTCAAATTCGTTTTCTAAAGAGTGAGTGTAGTGTTCCCCCAAAAGCTGAAAAACTGTCTGGTACCTGCTAATGATTATAGGAGCAGCGTCCACAATAGCCAAAAGATGGAAATAATCGACATGACCATCGACAGATGAATGAATAAAGAAAATGTGGTATATTCATACAGTGAAATATTATTCAGCTTTAAAAAGGAAGGAAATTCTGACACATGCTATAACATGTATCAACACATTATATTAAGGGGTGGGGGAGGGAGGATGAAGAGTTAATATTTAATGGGTACTGAAATGAGTTTCAGTTTGGGTAGTGATCTGAAGGTTAATTTCAACAACTTATGTTTATGAGAATCACATAGTTCAATTTATGACTATTGATGACAATGTACATTGTTTGTGAAATGCCCAAGTGATACATTCCCCCTTGACTTTAGTTCTAGGAAAGTTTGCTTTCATGGTGAAATGCTACTTGCTCTGTTTATGAGATAACAAGAAGTCTACCTTTCTCCTTTGACTGACAGGAACTGAGAATCACTTTTTATGATGATGTGTAGTGATTAGCTGTCAAACCAGTATTTCCTTGGACAATCATTAACCATCATTAAATTAATAATTCATGTTTCTACTCACTTTGAACACTGTGAGTGAAGCAGCTTGGTGACAATTCAGTGTCTGCAATCCAGACCGCTGACTTTTGTGACTTCAAACCAAGTTTCTCAGTCCAAAATGTCTTAACAGCAGGTCTGTTCCTATCATCTATCACATAGCTTCTTGTTGTATTCTATTTCTAGAAAATGATTCTCATATATTAAAAAAAATAATGTTTATTTATTTTGAGAGAGAGAGAGAGAGAGAGAGAGAGAGAGAGAGAGAGAGAGCATGAGCAGGGGAGGGGCAGAGAGAGACACACACACACAGAATCTGAAGCTGGCTCCAGGCTCTGAGCTGTCAGCACAGAGCTGACTCAGGGCTTGAACTCACCAACTGTGATATCATGACCTGAGCCGAAGTCAGACGCTTAACCTGCTGAGCCAACCAGGCACCCTTGATTCTCACATTTTTAAGGTTCCTCCAAGGTCTCTTCAAATCCATATTATATGCCACATTGCCTGTGTTTTAAATCAGATCATCTCAACCATATCCTCCAAATTTGGTTTAAAGATATCCATACAGATTTTTTTTCTAGTGCAGTATTAGACAAAACTAAAACTTTATTCATATGGACAGTGCTGTCCATATATACACCATAGCCCTAGTTCTTTTGTCACCTGGGTTCCAAATTTTGGGCACTAAATTTTAACTATCTCTTTTTCTCTCCTCAAATATCCAATCACCTGTCAAATTCTGTAGCTTCTGTCTTTACAATTATTTTACATCTGATTCTTCTTTTAAAATGTTTATTTATTTTTGAGAGAGACAAAGGGAAAGTTTGACAGGAGCCGAGAGAGAGGGAGACACACAATCTGAAGCAGGCTCCAGGCTCTAAGCTGTCAGCCCAAAGTCTGATGTGGGCCTCTACCTAATGAACCATGAAATCATGACCTGAGCCAAAGGCTGAGAAGGCTAATGCTTAACCGACTGAGCCATCCAGGCTTCCTTTCTAATCTCAATGTCACTCTCCCATCTTCTTTCTTCAGGACTTTATAATTATGCAGTACCTGCAATCTTGGTCTATTTGGGCTGCCGAAACAAAATATCACAGAATGATGGGTTGCAAACAGAAGTTTATTTCTCACAGTTCTGGAGGCTAGATGTCTAAGATCAGGTGCCAGCATGGTTGGATTCTGGTAAAGCTCTCCTCCACGTTGTAGATTGCTGACTTCTCACTATCTCCTCACATGGTGGAAGGGGGGAGGGATCTCTCTAGAGTCTCTTTTATAAGGGCACTAATTCTGTTCACAAGGGCAGATCCTATCTCTAAATACCATCACATTGAGTATTAAGATTTCAACATAAAAACTTTGTGAGGACACATTCAGATCATAGCACTAGATTATTCCAATATTCTTCTAACAGGATTGTCTGCCATAGCTCTCCTCTATCCAGTCGGTTCCCTAAGCTGTTGTCAGATCTATCTTCACTCTTAACATTTATACAGGCCTTCTAAAATGTGGCTCAAACTAAAGGTCTGGTCCAATTACTACCATTCCTCTATGCATACCCAAGCCCAGACTGAAGTACTCACTGTCTCCTCAAGCTGTCCTGCATTTTCTCACCTTAATGCTTTGGTTCATGTTAGGTCCTGGTGGAAAGTGCTTCTCCTCATCCCACCCCCAATCTCTGCCACTCAAATACTATCCATCCTCTATATGCCACTTCCTTAATTTAACTCCTCCTGATTCCAAAGATGTGATCTGTACTGGTTTTAACCTTCTCTAGCTTTTTATATCTGGTTGTCTCTTGTGCCAAATGGCATATTGGTCTTATATTAAACTTATTTGTGTATTTTTGTCTCCTACATAAGTTTCTAAGATAAAGAACCATGGTTTTTTAGCCACTTATGTTTCTTTATATTTTCTGCTTATATCAATGTCTTGCTTTCCAAAGGTACACAGGAAAGTATGTAATAAATTGAAATTGGCATAACTCCAATATTGGCAACATATTCCCCCCAAAAATAACTCAAAGAGGGGTTAAAAAAGATGCTATTTGTATAAAAATGTTTATTCAGAACAGCGATATGTTTATTCAAAAATGTTTGTTCAGAACATTCCTAACAAACAATCCAAAAGTTCAACAATAACAGAATGGTTAGATAAATCAAGGGCAGGACCCGAATCTAATTCTTCTCCTGTGCCTGCCCATAGGGAGTATTTACAATTTATCAAATGAGAGGTATAACACTCTAACGGGATATGATATAGCGAAGTGTATATGAAATCAGATTTAGGTACAAATAACATCACAAAACATACTTATTACATGTATTGAAAACCTATGGAAGCACGTTGTTAATAATCGTAAGGGCCGAAAGAAAGCCATCTGTCACATTTGTACAGTAATTTAAAAGGCGTCCTCATACATACTTTGATTCTCACAAACCTGTGAAGTACGCACGGGAGGCATTATTAACTCCGTTTTACAGGTAAGGAAACTGACCCACTGGGGTCAGGAATGATTGACTAAGGCGGAGCCCGGACTCTAGTTTCCGCCTCCCGGACCAGGGTCCTTTCCCTGCCACTCCTCGGCAACCCTGATTGGTGCTGGAGGTCTCAGTTTCCTTTTCTTCCCCGGCATTCGGTTTGCAAACCCTGCCCCGAGACGCGGGCGGCTGGCGAGCTGCATTTGCGCTGAGAGGCGCAGGTGCAGCCGAGGCCGACAAGCTGAGCCTTAGGCCCCGCGCGACCATAGAGTCCGGAAGTGCGGCCAGAGCAGCTCGCGGGGGCGCCGCACCGGGGGAACCCGGGACCAGGAGGGCAGCGCAGGAGCGGGCGGAATGGCCGCAATGCTGGCCATGAAGGTGGTCACGGGGCTGGCGGCAGCGGCACTGGCGGCAGTGCTCTTGGAGCACTATGGCCTGGCTGGTCAGCCCTCGCCGCTGCCCCAGCCCCGCGCCCCCCGGAGCCCGCACCCCGCTCCGGGCCCCGGAGCCAGCAACATCTTCTGGGGTCTGCAGGTGACGCAGCGGGAGCAAGGCGGGGGGTGGGTGCAGAGCCTGCCCGACTGGGTGAGACGCGGGCAGTTCCCGCGGGGGCGTCACTGCCGCGGCCCCAAACTTCTGGCTGGGGACTCTGTCCTTCCTTGGGAGGGTTCGTTATTGCATTGCATCCTTGCCTTTTCCGTCCGCCTTCAGAGAGCTGCCGGGTCGCCTGCTGTCTGTGCTTCCTCTTCCTGACTCAGATATCTCTGTTTAATACCTGCTTTCGGCAGATATCCGACATTCACCTGAGCAGGTTTCGCGATCCAGGCAGAGCTGTAGACTTAGAGAAGTTCTGTTCAGAAACTATTGGCATCATTCAACCAGCTCTCGTCCTGGCAACAGGTAGGGAGGGTTGCCGTGTGGTCGTGTTGTTCTGTGATCAGAATGGTAGAATGCTAGCCTGGGCTGCAGCTTTTCACTTCGGGGACGTTGGGAACACTATAACCCCAGCCCCCGGTGAGTCCTTCTGTAGAGGAGATGGGACATTGCGGTTACCTTTGCCGTGGGTAACTGAGTCAAGATCCAAGTAACTTTGCAGTAGCAAGGTTCCCTCAAAGCAGAAGCAAGGCTCGTGATATCAGTTAGTGTGCCGTTTCCTATATCTTATATCTGTACCTGTTTGTCGTCGTCGTAGTTCTGGATTTGAGAGAGGATTCGGGAAAGTCCTTTAACCACAAATCAGAAGTTATCTTTTTTTTTTTTTTAACTAACATTTACAGTTTGTTTGTTTGTTTGTTTGTTTTATAACGTTAGTCAACCTTATGTTGTCAATTGTTTGAGGCTTAAAGTGACTCAGGACACTTTTCTTCATATCTTGGTACTTCTGTGGCTTGGGTTCTCCGGACTAACTGCTCCCAAATGTGTTGAAGGACAAGCTAAAAAAGCATCTGTCTTGTCTACTGGGGGATTCATATCCCACCCACCTTACTGGAACACCTCTGCTGACATGATGGAGTATCAGTCCTCATTTTACAGAAAACCTCAATTTCAACTGTACACTTAGTTTTCTAGAAATGTTGGTGTTTCATTGTCCAAACCACATCTTCCAGATTGCTTCTTGCTGTAAAAATAACACTTGGTCAGATTACATACCCTGATTTGGGGTGTGGAAATATGGTTGTCATAGATATCAGGCTTCTGCCCAGAGTGTTGGAATTTCTTATAGTTTTCATTTTTATCAGAGTTTCATGATGCATTTTGTATTGCTCTCTTTAAAGATAATTTTTTTTCAGAACCCATTTCTAATATCACAGGAGGTTAAACAGGCACTTGCTAACCCAGAAGAAACAAAGTCCTTGCTGAGAAAATCTTATTTTAAATGGCTTGCTGTGGACATAGATGGACTCATAAGTTGTTATGTTTATACATGTTGAGTACTTTAAGTGTCTTTGTTCCTTTAGTGTGCACTTAAAAACAATTTTTAACCCCCTGGGGCTTATTTTACATTGTGATTCAAGTCTTATATAAATCTACAGGAGATCTCACTGATGCCAAAACAAAGGAACAGTTTGGATCCAGGCAGCATGAGGTAGAATGGCAAACTTACCATGGTATTCTGAAGAAGACAAGGGTCTTGGAAAAAACCAAGTGGCTTGATATCAAAGGAAATCATGGTAAGAGTCAAGACCCACATAAAATCAAAACTAGTTTTTTTCCCCCTTCAAGAGCCTACATTCTCCAATTTAGATTATAAAAGTATAAAATGGGAATGTTGTAACATAGGTTTAGATAGACTGAAGGCCACAACTCTGAAATACAACTATATTATGTGATTTATTTTATTTTTTTATTTTTTATTTTTTTCCAACTTTTTAATTTATTTTTGGGACAGAGAGAGACAGAGCATGAACGGGGGAGGGGCAGAGAGCGAGGGAGACACAGAATCGGAAACAGGCTCCAGGCTCTGAGCCATCAGCCCAGAGCCTGACGCGGGGCTCGAACCCACGGACCGCGAGATCGTGACCTGGCCGAAGTCAGATGCTTAACCGACTGCGCCACCCAGGAGCCCCTATATTATGTGATTTAAAACATCACATGTCACTTTTAGCTTATGAGGGGAAAGTTGGTATGGCCCTTTCTTCTTTACATGAAGAAAAGCTTCTAGCAAAACCTATGCAGGAAGTTGTTTAAAAAATACATACATTTTGGGCACCTGGCTGGTTCAGTCGTAAAGCATTTGACTTGTGATCTCAGGGTAGTGAGTTCGAGTTCATTGGGCATATTGAAGTAGCCTCCAAGCCACACTGGGCATGGAGGGTACTTGAAATAAATGAATGAATGCACGAATGAATGAATCAGTCAGTCAAATACATTTTGCTGATTGAAGGAAACTACCACCCATAAGTCTACATACTGTGTGATTTCATATATATGACATTCAAGAAAAAGCAAAACTGGAGAACAGATTATGGTTGCCAAGGGTTGGGGTTGGGACAGAGGCTGACTACAAAGAGGCATCATGAGAGAATTCTGGGAGGTGATGGAACTGTTCTCCATTGTGGCAGTAGATACACCTATGCATTTGTCAAAACCCAAAGAACTGTACATCACAGTAAATGAATTTTACTGTGTATTCATTAAAAAATTAAAAGGCAAATAAATCTCCATATGCATGAGGAGAGAAATAGATAATCCCTTCCCATTTTTTAGATTGTTATTATAGTGTTAGTAGGGAAATGAACTCTTCTGCAAAGTGTTATAATGGTAGGTTTGTTTTATAAAGGTTGTCTTCCTTATGGTTAAGTACTTCGCTTCATTTGATTATTAATTGCTATTGTGTACCTAATTATATATATATTTTTAAAGCTATCATTTGAAACAGATAATTCTATCTGGTGAAATGCACAGCTATTGGTTTGATCAGAAAATGCCCTCTTTATAAATAGTTCTTACCAAACAACTAGGAATCATTAATTGATGTTGGGATATCTGGCTTACAACTTTCTCTGGTATACCCCATAAGTTTGGCCCCAACTAACCATGGTTCAACTTAAAATGGTTAGACCTATGATTTTCAGACTTTACAATGGTGTGAAAGTGATATACATTCAATAGAAACTATACTTCAAATTTTGAATATTTATCTTTTCCTGGGCTAGTGATATGCGGTATGATACTCTGGTAATGCTGAACACGATCACCAGGTTAAACAGCCAATAACCTTGTAACCATTCTGTGCCCATGCAACTATTCCATTTTTCACTCTAAGTATAGTATTCAATAAGTTACATGAGCTATTCAACACTTTATTATAAATCAGACTGTGTTAGATGATTTTGCCGAACTATAGGCTAATGCCTATAAACATTATAATGCCTATAATGCCTATATAATGCCTATAAAATGCCTTTAAACATTCTGAGCATGTTTAAAGTAGGTGAGGATAATCTCTTGTTCAGTAGTTTAGGTGTGTTAAATGCATTTTTTCTTTTTTCTTTTTTTATGTTTTTTTAAAGTTATTTTTGAGAGAGAGAGACAGAGCACGAGCAGGGGAGGGGCGGAGAGAGGGAAACACAGAATCTGAAGCAGGCTCCAGGCTCTGAGCTGTCATCACTAGAGCCCCACATGGAGCTCGAACCCATGAACCGTGAGATCACGATGTGAACCAAAGTCAGATACTTAACCAACTGAGCCACCCAGATGGCTACTTAAATATTTCCAACTTATAGTAGATTTGTCTGTAAATTGAGGAAGATCTGTATTTACATCTCCCTTTTTTCCTAATCCTAATTAGTGGTAGAGATCAAATTCTTTTGCAATAAAAAGCATGCCTGTACATATTTAAAACATTTTTTCAGGCCAAGCTACTTTATTTCAAGTAATAAATGTCAGACTCTTGTGGTTAGATCTTGTGAGCAGAACTTGTCCTTTGGAGTTCATGATAATCTAATATGACTTGTATAGGCACAAATGCTTATGGTATGTGTTTTTATACATGTTTATATACTGTGTTAAGATAGGAGGAAACTATTTTTTATTAAGATTAACTATAACAGTGTAGTTCTTTTAGTAAGAGGATTACATACACAATAATATTTCTTTTGTCCTAAATTGGACTTAACAACTTATTCTCTAAAGTTATTAGAAATGTAGTAGATTCTTGGAATTCCAAGCCGAGGTAAATAATTTTAGTTATTGCAACCAGGCAGTCGAGCTCTATGAAATCATCATTATTTCCAGATAAGTGTTCTAGGACCACCTTACCCGTTACCATTATATAACTCTTTTCTTACTGAATCGTTTTGAGACTTAAGAAGAGAGGGACTTTGGCTCTGTTAGCAAAGTGATCTGGTGTTCAGAAACACTTGGCATGGATCTTTGTATCAGGCATGTTTCACAGGATTAAAACAGCAGCAACAACAGTCCAATCTTACAACTTGAAATTGATTTATACTGTATAGTACGTAGTATCAAAGTATTTATTATTCTCTAGTATCGTAGGTCTCTTAAATAAGTTTCCAGATAATATGAATTCTTTTATCAAGATTTAAGAATTATCAAGCTAATTTATTGGCATTCTAGCATTTAAAGGGTTATTGAAAGTATTGCCATTTTGCTTTAGTCATTAACATATTTGTATCCTCCTTTTTAATATAGATGATGTTTGTTTTTTTCCTTTTAATTAGATGTATTCAACATTGCAAGTCTGGAGAGTGTCGAGAATTATTACAGGTACTGTAATGAACAGAAGACCATGAGGTAGTACAAGGAGGGTGCAGTCAAGTCAATGAATGGGTAAAAACATTTTTTAAGTGACAAAATTTCTATATAAAGACCCTCTGGTAATATAGAATTTTTGTGTATTCAGTGACAGATTAAATTCTTTTTTTTCCTCCCAAGCCTTTTTCTTTCTTTAATTCCTTTTATTTCATATACTTTAATGCTTTTTATTGCCTAATAAATACTTTCACTATTTCACAGAAACTTTTTTTGCCATTGATGCATAGCAGAAGTCGTTTTTTTAATTTTAGTTTTTTTTACTTAGGTATGACTGACATATAACATTATATTCATTTCAGGTGTACAACATAAAATTTTGATGTTTGTGTATATTGTGAAATAGTAACCACGATAAGTCTAGTTAACACCCATCACTACGCATAGTTAAAACACTTTTTTTTCTTGTGATAAAAACTTTAAAAATCTACTCTCACCAACTTTCAAATATACAAGTGTTTTTGACTCTAGTCACCATGCTATACCTCAGAAGTCATTTAGGTTAGAGTTTGTCACTAGAGTACTGTGGATTTTAAGAATACTGAGAAACTGATTCTCTTAGCCTCTAGGAGCATCGTTGGTCACCCTGGCTGCTCTGTCCTTTTGTCCCAGTATGCCATAGAAATATTAGAATTTTCTTTATCTGCTGTGAATGTGAAAAAGACTGTGAATGTGAAAGGCTGTTTAAGTTAGAGACCAGTTCTCTAGTTTCAATGTGTTGGGCTTCTTTTAGTTTTAATTTCACTTTCAGTTCCAGGGTATTTGATAGTTTTGTCTTACAATGTCAATCACTCAAGTAGTGAGAATTTATTGAGAGCCCATCATTAGTTGGGTAATGTGAAAGATACAAGAACTAATATTAAAAAATGTAGCCTCTACCTTCAAGGAAGTCCAGTTAAGGGAGATAAGAATTGTTTAGGAAACAATTAGAAAAGAACAATGAAGGGATGACTGATGAAATGCTAGATTATTTGGTACACGTGATAATCACTATGAGAAATCTGAAAGGGCAGAAGTCAGCATAGGGCAGACATAGAAGAGACTTCATTTTATTTTATTACCGAGATTTAATTGACATATAACACTGTGTAAGTTTAAGATGTACAACATGTTTATGTGATACGTTTATATATGGTGGAATGATGACTACCTTAGAGTTAGCTAATAATTTGATTACCAACACATAATTATCATTTCTTTTTTGTGATAAGAATAATTAAGATCTAGTCTCTTATTGACTTTTTTTTTAAGTTTATGTATTTATTTTGACAGAGAGGCAGAGAGAGAAGGAGAGAGAGAATCCCAAGCAGGCTCTACATTGTCAGCACAGAGCCTGACGTGGGGCTTGATCCCACAAACCCGTGAGATCATGATCTGAGCCGAAATCAAGAGTTGGATACTTAACCGACCGAGCCACCCAGGCACCCCAAGTCTCTTAGTAACTTCCAAATTTATAATACAGTATTGTGGGTTATAATTACTATGCTGTGCATTAGATCTCCAGAACTTATGTATCTACTAGTTGCAAGTTAGAGAAGACATTATAAAAGAAGTAAAAAGTGCATTCAGTCTTAAAAGATAGGTAGCATTTGGGGAAGTAAGAAATTTTAAGGGATATATATGTATATGTATGTATACGTATGTGTGTATAATATATATATATATTTTTTTTTTACATTTTTTTTTAAAAAAGTTTATTTATTTTGAGAGAGAAAGCACACCTGGGAGAGGGGCAGAGAGAGAGGAGAGAGTGAAAATCCCAAGCAAGCTCTGCCCTGGCAGTGCAGAGCCTGATGCAGGGCTTGAACTCACAAACTGTGAGATCATGACCTGAGCCGATGTCAGTTGCTTAACCGACTAAGCCACTTAGGCTCCCCAGGGGGTATATTTTAGGTAAAACCCCAGAGCTTTAAAAGCTAGAATGAGCTTTTAGGGACAGTAGGGAAACTGGCATCACCAGAATAAAGGACCATTTTGAGGACTGGTATGACATTGGGTAGGTAGCTTAGGGCCAATTTATGGAGATTTTAAGTGACAAGTATAGAAATTTAGATGTGTTGAGTAATGGTTCATAATTCAGTACAGATTCCTAAGGAGACAAGTCACATAATGAAATAATATTTTATAAAGGGCAATCACACAGCAAAAAAAGAAAAAAGATAGGGATAATAAGGAAAAAAGAGGGAGATTGGAGTTTTATAGAGCAAACAGGAGAGTCCTATAATAGTCCCGTCATGATATGGAAGGGCCTGAAGTGATAGGAGACAAACCTATCTAACAAAGTACATAGATATGATGATTATGACATCAGCTAGAAGGTGGTAGGTCAAAAAGCATTGGTTAACTAACATGTAATTAGAGTCACCATAACTTGGAGAATGAAGTTGTCCTCTTTTGTTAATGTGAGGCAGGAAAAGGTCAGAGATGAAAATTTTCTGTTATCTGTTTGTATCTTTGATGGTGACTATGGAGATGAACTAAGAAACATTTTCAAAGAAGAATTAACAGGACTTAGGGTCTGTTATCAGGAGAGTGAGGATTTTAGTCACTTGAAAGTTTCTTACCTTTATGTTTTTGTTTCTAAACACCTAAACTTTATCTGAATGTTTTTTTAACATTTATTTATCTTTGAGAGACAGAGACAGAACATGAGCAGGGGAGGGGCAAAGAGAGAGGGAGACACAGAATCTGAAGCAGCCTCCAGGCTCTGACCTGTCAGCACAGAGCCTGATGTGGGGCTCACACCCACGAACTATGAGATCATGACCTGACCTGAAGTCGGACACTTAACTGACTTAATCACCCAGGCACCCCAAACTTTATCTGAATTTTTAATAAATGGCGTTTTGCCAGAGAAATAGACACTACAGATACATCAACCTGAAGGAAAAAAAAACTCTTAAAGCTAAATCTTGATTTTAAAAATGTCCCAGAGAATGCCAGAATCCAGTATTTAGAAAATGTTAATAGGTATCATATATTTTAACCTCTGCTTTCAAATAGTGGGGTTTATTTTTAGATAGTTGGATTGTAATATGTTAGAAATGTAGGAAATGAAACAACATATGTGAGATGATAAGAACCTAAAGAATAACTCTGAAAACAAATTAAGCAGCAAAAATACAAATAAAAATTTTAGTGTGGAAAAAACCCCCAATATAGAAAATTTAAAAATACCAAGAAGAGAGGCAATAGAACTAATTGACTATTAATTATAATATGTATGACAATATATTTATTTTATGATATATTTGATGACTGTTGTGGCTTAAATATAGCTTTCTGATAACACATTGTTTCAGAAGCCTATTTGTATTTTCTATTTGTGCTTTTAGGTAAAGTGTCATATAAGACACTTACCTATTTTCTTATAATATTTTGACATTTGAGTGATATAAATATGTCCCCAATGCAATCTATACCTTCCTTTATGTTTATTCAACAAATCTTAATGAGTTTCTGTTCTCTGTACCTTCACCCTGCTCTTTACTTTCCAACCTTATGGACACCTGAACACTGTTGATACTTAGGTAGTGAGGACTTTCATTACTGAATGTGTGCCCTGTGTATGTTACCAATACATTTTTAGGAACTGAAAAAGATTTACTGACCCAGACCTAACTAACATTTTTCTCCTGGCTTGATGACTTCATCTTTGCAAGGCTTTATTGTGAGTTAAGCTTCTGTAGTCCTGTTTCAAGATGTAAACACCTTTTGTATCTCATTACACCAAGAATTCTCTTAGGTACTTAGTAGCTTCTTAGTAAATTTTTCAATGATTGGTAAATACCATTTTGCTGGATTCTAATTGATCTCTTTCTAACTGCCTAAAATAGCTACCTACTTCTCTGCTTTGCTTGATGACCTTTTGTTTGGTTATTGATTAATTAGATTGCTTGAATCTTTGTAGACAATGGGAAAAACTTTAAAATTTCTTTTAATCAGTTTATTGCAGATCTAGTTTAGTGTATTTCTCTGTTCACCAGGAAATTTTCTTTTCAAAGGGAGGCAAAATATTGTGTGATACAAGGGAAGGAATTTAAACTCATTCTGTCTTTTTGTGATTGCATTAAAACTTTCCTGTCTTGTATTTTTTAGGAAATATTCTGCCGTACGTAGGGATGGCTCTTTCCATTATGTCCACAGTACTCCCTTTGGCAACTATTCTTTCATCTCTTTGGATGCCACCCAAAATCCAGGGCCCAAGAGACCCTATAATTTCTTTGGAATTTTAGATGAGGTACAGTAAAAATCTCACTTCCCTTTGTAGCTAACCTATTTTTTTTCTTGGATACATGTGGCTCTCTTAAAACTATCCTAGGTAAACAAATTCTAATCAAGAAATTCTTGAAAAAAACATTTACTGTGATTACAAGTATGGCTAGAAGAAATCACTGGGTACTTTAGCACTGTCATCGCTATCCTGTTCATTGCTATCCCTATCCCAAAATCTGGCAAAGAAGTACCTCACATTTTATATAATTCAGTACACATTTATTAAATATGTACTAAGAGCAACATGCACTTTGCAAGGTGTAGGGCATACAGCTTTTATACTATATGGTATATTCCTAAATCCCCATAGTTGCCATTTCTAACTAATGGTCTGTATTTTTTTTTAATAGAAGGGCAACCGTTGAAGTAAATAAGTTTCTTTTAAAGTATTTTTTTTTTGTAAGTTAGATGAAAACTGTTGCTAGATTAAAAGTGTCTGGAAGATCACATGTGAGAAACTCTCATTATTTCTTTTTTTTTTTTTTTAACACTGTATTTATTTTTGAGACAGGGAGAGACAGAGCATGAACAGGGGAGGGTCAGAGAGAGGGAGACACAGAATCCGAAACAGGCTCCAGGCTCTGAGCTGTCAGCACAGAGCCCGACGCGGGGCTCGAACTCAAGGACCGCGAGATCATGACCTGAGCTGAAGTCGGCCGCTTAACCGACTGAGCCACCCAGGCGCCCCTCTCATTATTTCTTAGTACAACAAATGTCTACTCATTAATGAGCACATGCCCACATGCAAGACAAATGTGGTCATATGTAAGAATACAAAAGTGATAAGGTCAAGTCCTTCATCTCAGAATATTTAATCTAGCAGAGGGGCATAAGACTAGTGCAGAAATAACTACAATAAGGGCAGAATTTGCTAAGTGCTGAAGGAGATTCAGAGTGATATGAGGATTCAGAAGAGCTTGAAATCAAGTGAACAGAATGTTGTGCAATGCATTGTTTTCTAGTAGGCATTTTATTTATTTATTTTTTTAATTTATTTTTTTTTCAACGTTTATTAGGCATTTTATTTAATGAAGGTATATTTTGTTATCTTGTAATTATCAAAGCCTACTCCTTAATTTTTTTAAGATATTCAAACATCAGGTCTGCATGAAAATCAGTTGGAGTCTTATAAAATGCAGAGACTTATTAATTAGAAACCCTGAAGGTACAGCCCAGGAATTCATTGCTGTAAGCACTTTACAGATCATTCACTTATATTTATACATGTACACATTATATTTGATATAAACTTGATGAGGGATGATTTACATATAATATGCACTCATTTAAAGAGTTTGAAGAATTTTGACAAGTGTATATACTTGTATAACTGTCACCACAATCAAGATAGAACATTTCTATCATCCCAGGAAGTTGTATAGTCAGTCTTCACCCCAATCCTAGGGAACCACTGATTGGTTTTCTGTCAGTATAGATTAGTTTTGTTTGTTCTAGAATTTATTTTTGAATCTTCTTAAAAATTTTCTTATAATGTTTATTTTTGAGAGAGAGAGACAGAGACAGAGCAAGCAGGGGAGGGGCAGAGAGAGAGGGAGACACACAATTTGAAGCAGGCTCCAGGCTCTGAGCTGTGAACACAGAGCATGATGCAGGCTGAACCCACAAACCATGAGATCATGACCTGAGTGGAAGTCAGATGCTTAACCAACTAAGCCACCCAGGCGCCCCTAGAATTTTATGTAAATGAAATCATACAGTATTACTCTTGTGTCTAGCTTCTTTTGCTCAGTATAATGTTTTTGAGACTCATCCATACTATCGTGTGTTCGAATAGTTCTTTTCTTGTTGCTGCATAGCACTCTGTTGTTTGGATATACTGATGGTTTCTAGATTTTGGCTATCCTGAGTAGAACCGTTTTGAACATTTAGGTATAAGGCTTTTTGTGGACATATGTACATCTTATTTTAGAAGTTTAGTTTCAAGATCCTCTTTTGTTTTTTTTTTTAAGTTTATTGATTTTATTTTTGAGAGAGAGAGAGAGAGAGAGAGAGAGAGAACAAGCACTCAAGCTGGGGAGGAGCAGAGAGAGTGAGAGAATCCCAATCATGCTCTTCATTGTCAGCATGGAGCCCAACACAGGGCTTTTTCCCACGAACTGTGAGGTTATGACCTGAACCGAAATCAAGAGTCAGACATTCAACCGACTAAGCCACCCAGGTGCCCCCTCAAGATCCTCCTTATTAATTGCAATGTAGTATACAGGGCTGAAAGATTAGAGGTTCTTTTTTATTTCTATAAAGAAATTTATCATAAAAAAGAAAGAAACTTATGTAATTTAAAGATTATTCTTCTCAATTTCCTTATCCATCAAATGGGGATAACACCTGCCCTACTTAGCATAGAGTTGTTTTTTTTTTAATGTTTATTTATTTATTTTGAGAGAGAGAGAGTGCACTCATGTGTGCATGAGAGCAGGGAAGGGGCAGAGAGAGATGGAGAGAGAGAATCCCAAGCAGGCCTCATGCTGTCAGCATGGGGCCCATGCAAGGCTCAAACTCACGAACCGTGAGATCGTGACCTGAGCTGAAATCAAGAGTTGAACCCTTAACTGACTGGGCCACCCAGGCACCTAGCATAGATGTATTTTTAGGACCAAATGAATTATAATGTATGTGAAAACAGTTTAAAACAGGACCATACAGGTCATTAATTAGTAGGGTTTAAGCCCTAGACATACTTATAAAACTCCAAGGGAGATGCTTAATGTATACATTTCAGCCTGAGCCCTAATTAAAGATCCTTCTGTTTTTCTCCCATTTCAGAAACGGATGGAGGAACTTCTATTACTCGTTAAGGAAAGTAGTCGGAGCAACCACAGTATTTGGTTCGGACACTATACAACATCCACTATCCTTTCTCCATCACCAGGAATTCGGTCAATAATGAGGTGAGGCAGGCTTCCAAAATCAAAATTAATTATTTGTAATTCTTTTACGTTACTCAACCCATCTTGCTTTCCTGAAGAGGTCTTTTTATTAGTTTGGCATCACAAGTTATCTGCTCATTTATTCCATTTATTTTTCATTGGTTAGTTCAGCTACAGCGTATTTGTGTGGGCACCTCCATACACTAGGCGGACTGATGCCTGTTTTGCACACTCGTCACCTCCAGGGCACTTTGGAACTTGAGGTGGGAGACTGGAAGGATAACAGAAGGTAAGGGAACTACCCCACAAAATAAACCTTACACATGTAAGTCTTGATAAAGCAATGATAGGTTTCTTATTGCTGTCATGGGTGATCCCAGTTAAGGAAAAACTTGTGATAGTTCTAAGTTTTGTTTTTGTTTTGTTTTTTTTAATGCTTATTTATTTATTTGGAGAGGGAGAGAGTGCACATGCATGGGGGAGGGGGAGAGAGAGAGAGAGAGAGTCAGTCAGAATCCCAAGCAGGCTTTGTGCTCTCAGCAACCCACGAACCTTGAGACCATGCCCCGAGCCAAAACCAAGAGCTGGATGCCCAACCCACTGAGCTACCCTGACACCCTGATAGCTCTAAATTTTTAAAGTAATATATATATTATGTATGTTGATATGCAAAAACCTTGTTGCAACAGTTATGCTTGCCATCACTATGTTACATTGGGTTTTTAAGATGCATCCATTAAGAAATAGTTCTCAAACTCTTGTGTGCTCAAGGATTATGGAGAAGCTTATTAAAAATTAAAATTTTGAGGCCCTATCTGTAGAGAATTTGTGTTGGTCTAGAACTGCAAGAAACTGAATTTTTTTAAAGCCCACCAGGAGCTCTTTGGACCACACTTTGAGAAAGACTAGAACTGAAAATGTAACACTTTTCCTTCTGAATTTTATATCTACCTTTTCTAGTTATTACTATAAGATGTTAGTGATATAAGTTCTTCAGATACATGATAGTTGGTTTTATAAAGATAAAAGTCTTTCTTTGAGAAAACATAACTTGTTTATCAAAAGCATATAGTATAGTTAAGTGTATATAGAAAAGAACTGACTAGGGGCGCCTGGGTGGCGCAGTCGGTTAAGCGTCCGACTTCAGCCAGGTCACGATCTCATGGTCCGTGAGTTCGAGCCCCGCGTCGGGCTCTGTGCTGATGGCTCAGAGCCTGGAGCCTGTTTCCGATTCTGTGTCTCCCTCTCTCTCTGCCCCTCCCCCGTTCATGCTCTGTCTCTCTCTGTCCCAAAAATAAATAAACGTTGAAAAAAAAAAAAATTAAAAAAAAAAAAAAAGAAAAGAACTGACTATATATTTTGAGAATAACTAAGTACAATAGTTTAAATGTAGATGAATATCATCTCATTGTTTAACTATTATCAGTTGCTGTTTAATTTATTCAAACTCAGTTCTCTGAAGATATTAGGCACTAAATAAATATTTGTTGAGCTGAATATGTTATCTTTCTATTTTTAACTACTTCCATTAATGAAAAGATAGCTTTACATCTTGGAAGGTACTTATTCATTTCACTTGGCTCCACTAGAAACTGTCTAAGAGCTATGCTTGAAGCCTGTAATTATTTGGCAACTGTAATTACTGTGAGTTAAGGCCTGTCTATTCATGACTGTGAGGTTGTAGGCTGGGCTGGGATTGCCTCTTACCAGATAGCTTTCCTCACCCTTGATCAGCTTATTTATTTCTTATAAATACTACAGTTACAAGTTAAGTGATATTATGAAACCATTTCCTCTCTTTCTCTTCCCACCTGCTCTCCTGTGTTCCAACCCTGGGGTTTTATCTGGAGTTTTACTAAAGGACCTAACCTATACCTGCCTTAACATTTTAAGTGTATTAGTACAATAGAAGAGTTTTTAAAAGTATGTTAGTAATATTAGGCTAGGCTTTGTTATGGATACAAATAAATCTAGACAATATCAGTGGCTTTACATAACAACAGATGTTATTTTTTCATTTATGTAAATCTGGTATGAGTCAAGGCATTTCTCTTCCGTGGGGTGACTCAAAGATTCAGACTTCATCTGTCTTATAATGCCACTATCTCAATATCTCAGTTCCAGTGCAGGGAAGAGAGTATGGAGAATTCAGACCCACTCTTAAAGTACTTTGGACCAGAAGTGTGATACATGTCACTTCTGTTCACAGCCCATTGACCAGAACTAGTCACATGGTCCCAACCTAATACCAGGGAGACTGGGAAATGCAGGGGAGCACGTGGAGTATTTGGTGAGCACTATTGTTTCTGCCATAGTTAATCATTTCTCTTCTCAGTTTTAAAAGTACAAAATATAAAATTTTGGCTATTCTTTAATGAATATTTATACCTTTCACCATGCATTCAGAAAACCAAAACAACTTCAGTTAAATTTCCTTGAAATTATAGAAATAAAGGTTTAAAAGAAGATTGAAGCATTTCTAGTTGTGTTTGTGTTAATATTAGCATTTTTGAAGAGATGAAGAATATCAAGTATTAGCTTATGATGATGTCTTAGGTTCAAAACAGTCTTAAAGTATAGAAATCAGATGAATTAATTTAACAAGCATTTACTTAAAAATGAAAGAGTGCATGTTATGTACAAGGCATTGTTCTAAGGCACAGTTAAATTCAATTCTTCAATCAGATCCCATTTGTGACTAATATGAAGTATAAAGTGGTCAGGGCAAGGGAAGAAGGACAGAAACACAGTGTTAATTTACTTTGCATTCAAATTCATGATCTCAAAGTATAGTTTTATATTTTTACATTTGTTTTGTGTATAACCTTCATGCCCTCTTATAATATGAAGTGACTAAATTACTTTTTGTCTTCTGGTCTCTAGGTACCGGATCTTTGCCTTTGATCATGACCTCTTTAGCTTTGCAGATTTGATCTTTGGCGACTGGCCTGTGGTTCTTATCACTAATCCTAAGTCACTCCTATATAGTTGTGCTACACATGAACCACTAGAAAGACTCCTTCATTCAACACACATCAGGTATGTAGCAATTTTTCAGAATTTACTTTCAGTTTGATATTAATGGAGAATAAGTGAGTGCAACTATAATCCTATGTAAAAGCTCTGAGATGCCCCATTTTATTTTTCTCAACAGTGTAAACATTTTATAAAGAAAATGTTTACTGTTTAATTCCCATTCAGTTAAAATATATATAATTTTTGAAGCTGCTGAAAAAAAAATTTTAAGTTTACTTTTATTTATTTTGAGAGATAGAAAGCAAGTGGGAAAGGGGCAGAAAGAGAGAGGGAAACAGAACCCCAGGCGGGCTCCATGCTCTCAGGGCAGAGCCCGATGCAGGGCTTGAACCCGTGAACCATGAGATCATGACCTGAGCCAAAATCAAGAGTTGGACCCGTAACCAACCTTGCCACCCAGATGCCCCTAAGCTGCTGAAAGTTTTTAAAAAATCCAGAAACCCACAATCCTACCACTATAATTTTTGTGTATTTCATTTTCGCATTTTACATTTCTGTAATCATATTTCCCTCCCCTTCCCTCCAAATAGAGCTGTTATTAACATTTCTGAGTTCTTCTCAGGCATGTTCTTCGAGGCATGTTTTTCCATCATTGTAATAGTAGGGCACAGTCTGTTCTAATTCCTACTTTTTTTCTTTCAAGAGAGAGAATGTACCACAATTTATCTAACTATTTTCATCTCTTATTGATGAACCTTTATGTTTTTTTCTAATTTGGGAATGAGCATCTGATGTGTGTAGGTTCTTTTCTTCATTTGAATAATTTCTTTTTTTTAATGTTTATTTGTTTATTTTTTTTAATTTTTATTATTTTTTTTAATGTTTATTTACTTCTGAGGCAGAGAGAGACAGAGCATGAGTGGGGAGGGTCAGAGAGAGAGGGAGACACGGAATCAGAAGCAGGCTCCAGGCTCTGAGCTGGCAGCACAGAGCCCGACGCAGGGCTCGAACTCACAAACCGTGAGATCATGACCTGAGCCAAAGTCGGTCGCTCAACCGACTGAGCCACCCAGGCGCCCCTATTTGTTTATTTTTGAGAGAGAGAGAGAGAGAGAGAGAGAGAGAGCGAGCGAGCGCGCGGGCACAAGAAGGCGTGGAAGCAGGGGAGGGGCAGAGAGAGAGACGGAGACAGAGAATCCCAAACAGGCTCCATGCTGTCAACACAGACCCCGACACAGGGCTTGAACTCATGAACCATGAGATCATGACCTGAACCGAAACCAAGATTCAGACACTTAACTGAGGCACCCAGGCAACACTCATTTGAATAATTTCTTTAGCTAAAGTTCTAGAAGTGGAATTCTAGGTGAAAATATGAATTCCCTTAAGACTATTGATAAACACTATTCAATTACTTTTTTTTTTTGGCAACTAAAATCATTATTATTTTTTTTTTTTATATATTTTTTTTCAACGTTTATTTATTTTTTGGGGACAGAGACAGACAGAGCATGAATGGGGGAGGGGCAGAGAGAGAGCGAGACACAGAATCGGAAACAGGCTCCAGGCTCTGAGCCATCAGCCCAGAGCCTGACGCAGGGCTGGAACTCACGGACCGCGAGATCGTGACCTGGCTGAAGTCGGACACTTAACCGACTGCGCCACCCAGGCACCCCTAAAATCATTACTCTTTTTTAAAAAATGCAGCAAAATATATGTAACATAAAATTTACCATTTTACTGGTTTTTAGGTATACAGTTCAATGGCATTAAGTACATTGATATTGTACAACTATCACCACCATTCATCATCAGAACTTTTCTCTTCCAAAACTGAAACTCTGTACCCATCCAGCAATAACTCCCTATTTCCCCCTTTCCCCAGCTCGTGGAAGTCACCGTTCTACTGTCTGTCTCTATGAATTTGACAACTCTAGGAACCTCATTTAAGGGGACTCATACAGTATTTGTCCTTTTGTGACTGGCTTCTTTAACATAATGCCCTAAGGGTTCCTCCCTCTTGTAGAGTGTGTCAGAATTTTTTTTGCTTTTTAAGGCTAATGTTCCATTGTGTGTATATATCACATTTTGTTTATTCATCTGTTGATAGACACTTACGCTTTCACCTTTTGCCTGTTGTGAATAATGCTACTATGAACAGGGCTATACTCTGTCAAATCCCTGCTTTCATTTCTTTTGGGAATATATCTAGACATGGAATTGCTGGATCTCATGGTAATTATATGTTTAATTTTTTGAGGAACCACCATACAGTTTTCCATAGCGGCTGTACCATTTTACATTCCCACCAGCAGTGCATAAGGTACCCAATTACTTTTTAAAACAGATACTAATTTATAATGTTACCAGGCAATATGAGTTCCAGTTTCACAGCACTCTTATCATTTTTGGATATTGTACTTTTAAAAGATGTACTAATTAATCTGGAAAAAATGGTATCAAGCTGATTGATAGATTGATTTTTGGTCAGTAGTGAAGTGAAATCTATATCTCTCAGTCAGGTTTTTTGGATAGGAGTTGGACATCTGATTTAGACATCATATTCTCTGAAAGGGCCTGGTAGCCTTAGCTCTGTTTATGACATTGTTTCCTTTGGGCAGATAACACTGGGAATCAAATGAGTGAATGTAGGATTAACATTAGATTAACAAATTGAGATGTCTAACCAATATTCTTTTCCTATATGAAAAACCAGGACTTCAAGCAGTTTATTCAGAAAGAACTTGGGATCTACTGCAGATTTATTTGTCAAAAGAAAATTGATTTTCCTTTCTAAAAAATACAAGAGTAGTTTCTAGCTTCTCACCAACTCAGGTTTGCTTAGTTATACAACTCCAGGAGCCATGATTCAGAAAGCCACTAGATCTTGGGACTAGCAGTCATACGAATGGTTATACAGTGTGATGGTTCTGCCTACATTTATATAATTTCAGGTTATAATAGGGTTATTCTCCTTTCTAAGTATAGTGATAAGTCTCTAAAACCACATGCTTATGTATTTTCTCATTTTAGAGTCTTGGCCTTTTCCTTATCCTCCATTACTTCTGTCACAGTTAAGATTGATGGAATTCATTTAGGGCAAGCTATTCATTTGTCTGGTCCTATTTTCATACTGAAGTGGAACCCAAGAAACTACAGTAATGGGACACATAACATAGAAGTAATTGTCCAGGTAAGTTAGTAATTTTCAACTTACTATATAAATGATTTGGCTGCAACCACACTAAACTCTGATGTGGGTTTTTTTTCCCCCAGTCAATTGATAGAGATGAAACTAAGTTAATTAAAAATTTGAATACACTAGATTTAGTGTATTCTGAAAATGGGCACTCAGGAATAATTCTGTTAGACAAAAAAATGGACTCATCATTGTGCAGCTCCTGGCCATAGTCTCCCCATTTCTGAACCACAGGAAACCATTCTTTTCAACTTTGGCCAGAGTCTTTTGGTAATGGGAGCAAATTCCCCAACATACCCAAAGATAATAGAGTAAGTCGGAAAACACGGATTTATGTATCCATGCATTTGCTTGCTGTCTCCAAGTACAGGAAAATTTGTCACTGTTTTGAAAGCTCTAGGATAGAGGATTTTCAAGGCATCAGAGAATTTTTTTGTTTATTTGGGGAGTATACACTGATAGTATATGTAGTAACAGTCTGCCTATGTCTATTCCAATTCAGCTAGGGGGCATTTAATTCACCAGCACCTGCCAGAGTAGGAAGTGGTCACAATTACCAAAAAAAGATCACTTTTTTTTTTCATCAACACTGTGAAATTCTTGAGGGGATAGACTGTGCTTAGGAATTAGTGTCTGAAAAAAAAATCCTACAATTTCATGATTTGATGACAGTTTTTAACTATTTCATCTCTAATGTTAAGTGTTAGTTTGAAGATTACCATGTAATCCTTCAGGAAACACATGTAATTATTTTCATTATCTTTTTTAAAAAAATTTTTAACGTTTACTTATTTTTGAGAGTGGAGCGGCACAGAGAGAGGGAGACACAGAATCTGAAGCAGGCTCTAGGCTCTGAGCTGTCAGCACAGAGCCCGATGCAGGTCTCAAATTCACAAACTGTGAGATCATTGATCTGAGCCGAAATCAGATGCTTAACTGACTGAGCTACCCAGGCTCCCCTTTTCATTATCTTTTGTGTGTGTAGCAGAGAAGGATTTTGAATAGGGAGGAGCTATTTACTGAGCTCTTTTAAGGAGATGCTGGACACTTGGAGTTTTTTACTTAATCCATATAGCAATCCTATATGGTAGGTAGTTTTATCCCCAATTCATAGAGGAGTAAAACAAGAAAAGGCACTTTGCAATGCCACCCATCTTTGAAGTGTTGTGCTTAGGAGGAAGAAGAAACTCATAGGGAGAATGTGGAAGGGACTGATGGCTGGGATGAACTCTTTTTTTTTTTTTTTTTTTTTTAAGTTTTTGAAAAATTTATTTTGAGAGAGAGAGAGAGAGAGCGAGCAGGGGAAGGGCAGAGAGAGGAAACCCCAAGCAGGTTCAGCACTGTCAGCATGTAGCTGGGCACAGGGCTCCATCTCACGAATTGTGATATCATGACCTGAGCTGAAATCAAGAGTCAGATGCTTAACTGACTGAGCCATCTAGGTGCTCCTGGGATGAACTCTTAATGTCCTTCCTACTAGAAGCTGGATCATTTAAAGAAAACCTGAAGGTTCAAGTGTACCTAGAATAAATTATTCCCTGTCTTTACAATTAGGCAAGAGAAGTAGGAGTGGCCATAGAAGACCTCAATGTAGGAGTGAAGAATCCCCTAATCCTTGGATTGCCTCAGAACCCCAGCTTCTATAGTTTTTTGAGGAAAAAAACATTGCTCATGTTCCCTGAAACATTTCTGGTTGCTTAGTTAAATCCTTAGTAAAAATATGAAATTAAATATACATTTTATATCTTTAACATTTCTTATATTATTGAGGTATAATTCATATGCAAAAAAACTCTATATATTTAAAGAGTATAATTTGGTGACTTCCTTGACCATTACTACAATCAATACAATATATCACCCTCAGAAGTTTTCTTGTGTTCTTTTGCAGCTGTCTTCCTTCTACCCTCATTTCCAGGAAACCACTGATCTGTTATAGATTAGTTAAAAGATTAGCCTAGTAGCGATTAGACCTTTAGATCACTTCTTAGTGTGGTTCCTGAATTAGTAGCATCAGCACCACCTAGGAACTTGTTAGAAATGTAAACTCCCTGGGCGCCTGGGTGGCTCAGTTGGTTAAGCGTCTGACTTCCGCTCGGGTCATGATCTAACAGTTTGTGGGTTCAGCCTGTGTCATGCTCTGTGCTGACAACTCAGAGCTTGGAGCCTGCTTCAGATTCTGTGTCTCCCTCTCTCTCTGCCCCTCCCCTGCTTGCACTCTGTCTCTCTCTCTCAAAAATAAGTAAATGTGAAAAATTAAAAAAAAGAAAAGAAAAGAAAAGAAAGAAAAGAAAAGAAAAGAAAAGAAAAGAAAAGAAAAGAAAAGAAAAAACTCTCATGTCCCATACCAAACCTCTGAATCAAATTCTGGACATGGGACCCAACAATCTGTTTCAACAGTCCATCCAGGTGATTCCAATGTGCACTAAAGTTTGAGAATCAGAAGTTTAGATTATTGTGCCTACTTTGCCAACTGAAAGAATAGACTCCAGAAATCTCTAAATTAAAGAAAACTTGGGCTTTAAAACAACTTATAACTTAAAATAAGAACATTCTGAGCAATAAAAGTTTGATAAACATGAGTGCAAGTTCTTTTTGCTATTTTAAAACTTTTTTATGGGAAAATTTTTAAATATATGCAAGAGATAATACTATAATGAATTCCCATGTATCCATTAGCTGACTTCAACAGTTATCAACTCATGACCAATCTTATTTCATCTATATCCCACCTACTTTACTCCTCCCTACACCATGATAGTATTCTATCTGTAACATGACAGCATGTGTCCCTAAAAGATAAGAATTATTTTTTAATGTAACCATAATACCATAACACACCTGAAAAATCTATAGTAATTCCTTAATATCAAACTATCCAGCCTGTATTCAGTTTTCCCAATTAATCATATATATGTGAATATATATATTGTATTTGGTTGGTTCAAAGCAGAATTTAGACAAGACTCAAATCCTGAATTTAGCTGATTTGTCTCTTCACTTCTTTTTTCATCTACAGGTTCCCCTCTCTTATCTCCTTGTTATTTTTTATTTTTCCTTACAATTTCTTTGCTTTGGAAACTGGATCTTCCATCCTGTAGAGTTTCCTCTATTCTAGATTTTGGCTGTTTACATTCATGTATCATTCAGCATGTTCCTCCATCCCCTCTAGTTTCTATAACTGGTAGTTAGATTTAGGGGCTGATCACATTTGAGTCTGTTTTATGGCAGGAATACTTCATTTGGTGTTTTATTCTTTTTTAAAAAAGTTTTTTTTTAACGTTTATTTGTTTTTGAGAGAGCGTGCATGTGCACAAATGGGGGTGGGGCAGAGAGAGGGAGACACAAAATCCAGAGCAGGCTCTAGGCTCTGAGCTGTCAGCACAGAACCCAACACAGGACTCAAACTTGCAGGCCGGGAGATCATGAACTGAGTGGAAGTTGGATGCTTAACCAACAGAGCCACCCAGGCACCCCTGATGTTTTATGCTTTTATCAGAAGCCTATGAGACCTGGTTTCTCTCTTTTAGTATTGTTAAGATTGGCCATTTTATTCAGGTGTTGTTAACTTTATCCAGCAACTGGTATGTTGATAAATAACTAACAACCAGCCTGGGGCAGGTATGAAGGAGGAACCCTGATTTGTAATATTTCTCTGATTTATTCCAATTTCCATAGTATAAATATTTTTACCATAGCTGGTTTTAAGCTACTAACATGTCATCTGGCCTGCAAATTTCCTGAAAATTTAACAGTTGGCTTTTGTGAACCTGTCAAGCCAGCTTGAGCACACTGCTGGCTTCTCCCTCCATTCATTATGAGGTACCTAATCAGCTTTTCACTGAAGGATTTCTAGCAGCTGTTGATGGCCTTGGTCTAGATGAAATGTAGATCCATTATTTCATTAGAGTTATAAAATGGTGGTATTCAAATTGCCACTCCTTGTAAAATTAGTATTAATTTGAATGGTTCCCTAAAGAAAAGATCTAGAAGTCCCTAAAGAAAAGATACGGGAAAGGTGGGTTACATTCTAAATTCTTCCCCCCACCCTCCCTTTTCTAAACCAGTTTTAAAGGTAATGAGTTGCTTTTCTAGCATCTTCCAAAGGCAACCAAAAGTATCTTTTACATTCAGCATCATTATGAATTCAAGGTTTAAAAAATATATATATTTATATATATCTGGTATGTTTGAATCCATTGCATTTATTCTTGTTAATGCTCAAATTATTCCACCTTTGGTTAGTGGGAGCCTCTCCAGGTTGACCACTAAGTCCTTTGATAAAATCCTAGTAGTCTTTGTTAGTTTTCTTACTCTCTGCCATGAAGATATTCTAAACTCTTCCTGTGTATTTCTTGTTTGAGGACTGGAATCAGGGGTGCCTGGTTGGCTCATTCAGTGAAGCATTCCACTCCTGGTTTTGGCTCAGGTCATGACCTCACTGTTTAGCAGTTCGAGCCCTGCATCTGGCTCTATGCTGACAGGGAGGAGCCTACTTGGGATTCTCTCTCCCTCTCTCTCTCTGCCACTCTCCAGCACTCCCAATGTCACATACACACACACACAATAAATAAATAAACTTAAAAAATAAAAGAAAAAGAACTGGAATCAACTATTTCCTTGTGAGAAATTTTATTTTTGAGACTACAATCTGGGCACTAACTCAGCTAGATCATTGCTTTGGGGTTGTTACTATTTTTAGGCCTTTTCAGTGAGCAGAGGGAAAATACATATTTTTCTTTAAGAGAAAATACATTGTGAGTACATGCTGATATTCCCAATTTAAATCTAGAATTACAGGCATTAAAATAAGTTATATTTAAAGTGCTTATAGGAAGAAGCAAAAATAAATGAAAAAATGTAGCTTTGTCAGAGATAACTGACAAAAGTTACTGGAAACTTAATCTTGGAACATTATACATATTTAAATGTGCCTAAGAGTCACTTCTCTGCTGTCCTTATAACTAGGATTCTGCTGGGAGAAGTAAGAGTGTTCACCATATATTTTCTCTTCAAGAGGATATTCATCTCAGATTTGATCCCCTGGCATCATTTATTCTCCTTACTGACCATGGCATCGTGGTAAGTAAATTCAACTTGAGATTAGATTCAGTCCAATCTAGTGGTAGGTCCAAAGTCGTCATATATTCATGTAATGAGAAAGATGGATCAATAAAACTAAGTTGTTTGTCTAGAAGAATAAAATTCTTTAAAGTTGATTTGAATTAAAAGAAGCAGAGGCATTGACAACTAATACCTGTTTGGGAACCTGGTTCTAACCACTACCATAAAACCAGGATAACTAAGGGAACTACAGGAACTGCATAAAATTGGATTAAGGATCTTTTAAAAATAATATTTATTTCTACATAAATAATATATGCTTACTGTAGAAAACTTGGAAAATTTAGAAATAAAGTAAAATCAGCCCACATTACTCATCATACTACCTATTATAGCCATTGTATTTGTCATTATGATACTCTATTTTTTTCTCATATAAATTTTGTATATGAGTCTTTAATATAAAAAGGTAATTTCTATTCTCTTTTGCTAATTTTTTTTCCACTAAGGAATTTGTTATGACTATTTTCTGACATCAACTTACATTTTATAACATGATGTTTTTTGTCATAAATATACCTTTACTTAGCCATTTACCTCTTGTTGGACATTTGGTTCCAATATTTCCCTCTACTATATAAATGCTGCTTGCAGCTAAAAACTATATTAGTTTTTTGGGATAAATTCCTAGAAGTGAATTGTTGGATAAAAGAGTGGACACATTACTCTTTATACTTTCTTATATAATTTCACAAATTTTTTTTATTTTATTTTATTTTTTTATTTATATATGAAATTTATTGTCAAATTGGTTTCCATACAACACCCA